CAAATCTTTCCACGAATGAGCTTCAACTGTGCCCATTTTGGACAATATGTTGATGGAAAGGTTGTTGCGACACATCTCCATAAGGGTAGCTTCAGAGACTTGATCGTGTGAATGCAATGATCGATTTCTGAATCTTTTGACAAAGTCACTGACATACTCTGTCTTCTTCTGCTTTTCGGCCAACAGTGTAGCCATAAACACCTCAGTGTCATCATCAAAGAACCGAGCTAGGAAGAGCTTCTCCAAATCTCTCCAACTTTTGATTGACCCGAGCTCGAGTCTGTGAAACCATTCAAAAGCTATCCCTTTCAAGGTACTGATGAAAAATCTAGTCATAATGAGATCATTACCCACTATGTGTCTAGTCTGTGCCTAGAAATAATAGATGCATTGGGTTGGAGAACCCTTGCCATCAAATTGCACCAAATTGAGCGACTTGAATTTTAGGGGATATGGGACGGTATCCCATTCAACTGGATAAGGTTTAGCTACCCCCAGGTCTTTGAAGTTTTTGTGGAGCTTCAATGCATCAAGCTGCTTCTAGAAATGATCCAATTTTTGGTCCCGTACCTTCGTACGAGGATTGGACTCAGCTTCAGATGATTTAGAATGAATATGCAGAATCCTTTCCTCCTCATCTTCTTCATCATTGCCATCTTGATTTTGATGGCTATTCTCTTCTTCGGCACGTGAAGGTCGCCTAGGCCTTGATCCCGAAGCTTGGTGATAGACTTTCTTCTTTTTCTTTTTTTTCTCCCCGAGAAGTTTCTCTACCATTGCTTCCAAGCGTCTGATAGATTCCTGTTGTTGACAGATGGTTGATAGTTGCTCTTCCATCTGCCTCACCATGTCTTCCTCACTCCCAGCCATGTGAGCACTTGCTTGTTCACTTTGATTAGTATTAGACGGCTAAGAGGTTGTGATGGCTGAGTTCTCAGGCTCTTCATCAACATCATCTGTAATGCCTGCCAATCACCGATAATCAAATGAGATTACCACACTAGTACGAGTACGAGTATGCTAATATACTCTCTGTCCTTCGACAAGCATTTCACCTAACCCCGGAGAGTACTCAAGATCAGAAGATTCAGAAGAATCAACCGAGGTTTTGTTCTTGCCCTTGCTGACCATGTTGATCGTCACTTTAATGTGGCGATTCTTGGGTGCTTTGTTTTTTGGGACGAAACCATTTTCTTCTTGATGACGAGATCGTCAACGGCTCAGTCAACCGTTGAAAGACTAAAGATTTATGTGCTGACTCCCCACATGGTTATTAGGAAAGTATTACAAAAATAAGCTTCTCATAGCAATAATGAGATTGCATTTGACTCATGCTACGTTTGCGTGTGAGATAATCACAGAGGTCGACGGTAAGACAACCCCCAGCTAACTCCGTTGGCCTAGCTATACCCTAGCAGACCCTCTAAACGATAGAGGTTGACGAACTTGGGTAGATAGACAAACTTCGTCATTCAGATGTTTATGACGAGGTCCGTTGATACGACGAGCTTGGCGCATTCGCCTTCTCGCTCGACTTTTAACTTGAGGTTCGTTTTTCTGGATGAACCTCGGTACGAACTGTTTGTTGAGTTTGCTGAACCTCTCTTTGAGGACGAGGTTTATTTTCTGATCCTACTCGGGTACAAGGATGAGGTCCGTCATTCTGATATTCCTCAACCACTCGACCCTCGTTAGACTTGTTGACCTTAGGCTAGTCAGCTCTCGGTCAATAATGAAAACCGTTTAGCGAGACCAAGGCTCGAGCCCAATGGTGAGCTTGATTCTAGCACTAATATTGTCAAGCACGTCTCGACAGTGGACCAACAGAAACTCTCGCTTTAGCCGAGGTTGGATGAGGTTTACGGTCAAAAGCCAAGGTTTGGCTAGTAGAAGCCGAAGTTCGGCTAGGTTGCTTAACAACCCATTTCTTAGCCTGACGTCTAGTTGTTGGAGCCTCATTTTTGAGAGACATAGACTTTTCCTCGAGGTTAAAGTCACATGGGCTGAAGTCTCATAGGAGACTCGATGGCATTTTCGTGCCTTAGTGGGACTAGACTTACCAAAGGAGAGAAACTCCTCGTACTTTGTCTGGTCGAATTCTATCACCAAAGTTTCAACCTTGGTCCCTACTGCAATCTTGTCTGACTGCACCACCACCATCTTATTGGAAAGAATGGCTGCTCCCACTGTGGTCGTCATCTTCTGTAGGGTCAAAATATTGAAGTTTGATTGATTTCTTGTTTTAAGAAATGAGTTCGATCACTTATTACGAATCCCTTACAATCACTCGCTCCCGATTATAGAGGAAGAGAAGATTGATTTGACTTCTGTTTTGTTTAAAAGTAGGTTCTTGGTGACAAAATGATGCTTCTCTCGATGATCAAGCCGAGATTGCTTCCCGTTGACGATCAGATCAAGATCACAAAAGCTTCTGACAGTGGCTTAGATCACGAAGATGCAGACACTGATCTCTCTTCCCGCGATAGCTAAAGATCTTCCAAAAGTCCTTTCTTCATAGCTGCTTGCGGTTATTTATAGAGTTTTAGCATGTAACCAACGTGCTAAAATTATGGGTAGAGGGCGTAACTACCTCCTCCAATTCAACCCATGTTGGTTAATAGGGCGTAATATGCTCCTGAAGTTTAGCCCACGTGGCTGACTAGGTCTTGGAAACCGTTACAGCTGGATCTCCCGCGGACGACGAACCTCGCTGCATGGCAAAGTTCATCTGATTGAATGAGCCTAAATATGCAGCGAGGTTCGTTTTCTAAGGCCAATTGTGTAGTATAGCGAACTCTATCTTCATGATGTCATCTAATGAGCTTCGTATTCACTAACGAACTATGTCTTCGACAGCTGAGTCCAACTACGTAGCCAGTCATGTGAGTTTCCTTTTGACGGGTCTCATCTTCATTGATGAGCTTGACGTCTGGTGATGAGCTCCGAACCTCGTATCCAATGATGAGTTTCGAACCTCGTATCCAACAATGAGCTTCGAACCTCATATCTGATATGACTCCTCGTTGGGTGATGAGTCTCCTCTTTGACCAAGACGAGGTTCGTCTCTTTGACGACCTTCGTCATATCTTGAAGTTCGACATTTTTTAATGCCTACAAGTACTGACAAGGTTCATGTTAGCTATGACACAGGTTTGTAGATTTATGATGTCGGCTTTTCAGTGCTCTCTTCTCCTTCTAGACCTCTTCATTTATCTAACATACTTTTCCTTCAGTTGTTATTTTGAATTTCATCCCAACTCTTGTGTTGTTAAGGACCAATCCTCTGGACTCCCCCTACTTCATGGGAGAATTAGAGTGGACCGACTTTATTGCATCCAGTCACACCGACCCATTTCTTCTCCAGCTGCTTATTTGTTTGAACGTGTCTCTATTGATCGTCAGCATGACCGTCTTTGCCGCCCTTATGCTCATACCGTTAACCATGTCAGCTTCACACCAACAACCTTCCCTACTCACCTCGAACCGCCAACAATAAACTATGTTGCTTGTCTTATGGGAAAATCATCGCATCCCACTCTCCCTCCTATAGGCGCCAGAAGTAATTCCCCTCTATTAAGGGTGGCAAATAGGTCAGGTCGGATCGGATCGGGTCGGGTCATAGTTGACCTGACCCGTGTAAGTGTGACCCGACCCGTATATCCGAACTGATCCGAACCGTATTCGAAACGGAACTGGATATAGTAATGAAAAATTGAAACCAGCCGGATAGAGATGCGGTTTTGGATCTGGTTCGAAAAAAATTATCCAAATACAGTTTCGGATCTGGATATTGGATCCAAATGTTGAATACGGTTCGGTTCAGATATTAGGATCTTTTGCGATAACGTATATAATTGGTTTTGGTAGATACTTATGAAGCACATTTTCCAAACCCGATCCAACCCGACCCGTTTCAAAAATACCCTAAAGGACAAATTTTTGTTTTAGACCTTTTTAGAATTTATTTTCAAAAATCGACCCTTTCAGATTTATTTAGAAATTTCGATCCAATTTCAGCCACTTTGTTGAAACTAGATTCGAATTTGCGAATAAAGTTAAAAAACTTCACGGAATTTAGAATTCCGTAAAGTTTAGTCCTTAATTAAACTTTACGGGATTCTAAATCTCGTGAAGTTTAACATGGTTGTCATAGTTGGCCAAGTGGTTAGCTCAAAGAAAGCTAAACTTCAATTAAAAACTTCAACCATTTAAGTGGTTTAATTTTCGAATCTCATCCTAACATATTTTTGTCCTTGAACATTTAAAAAAATTTGCAAGGCTAGGATTTGAACCTTGCGCTTCCCATCCAAGTCTTATAATGTACCGTTTGGCAAAGGGTTAAGGAAACTTAACTCCTTCTTAACAAGCCAAACAAAAAAAATTTATACAAGGGTTAAAGTGAGTTAACCCTCCATAATTTGCTAAACATAAAAAATATAGAATAGTTAAGCTAATCCCTCTATAGGGATTAAAATAAGTTAACCCCTCAAAATAAGAGGTTTACTAATACTCCTATTTAGAAGGATTAAGAGTTAACCCTTCTAATTATAAAGAAAATAGTCAAAATCATCGTAATTCCCAAAACACTAAAACTGATCACAAGGACTAATAATTTAGTCATTCAGATTATTGAATGAGCTAAGTACATTAATCATTCTTTTTAACCTCTCTTCCTTAACCCTTTGCCAAACAAGACCTAATGTTATTACCACTAAACCTATTGCTCATAAGTTCTTATTTTATGAAATTTGTTTAATATAAAATTCGCAGAATTTAAAATCCCATGAAGTTTAGTAGCAATTTACCGCCTGAGCAGAGTTTTTTAGTTAGCACTAATTAATTAAGGACATAACCTCATGGGATTTTAAATCACATGAAGTTTTTTAACTTTATTCGTAAATTTTAACCCAATTTCGAAATTTGCAAATAAATCTAAAAGGGATGGATTTTTGGAAATAAATTCCTAAAAGGGTCTAAAACAAAAATTTGTCCTACCCTAGATCTAAGCCCAGAGAGCGGAGTTTCACCGATCGATTTCTCAAAGCCAAAAATTTTCCTCCGCTCCTCCGCTCGCCTCTCCTCTCGTCGCTCGTCTGTTCGCCGCTCGTCGTTCCTCCTCTCGCCTCTCCTCCGTTCACATCTCCTGGCGCTCGGCGCTCGGCGATCCTCATCTCGCATCTCCCTCAAATCACAGTCGTCGAACCCTAACTAGCTAACAATCTCCGCCGCTTCACCTCCTCAGCCATCATCATTCGACGAGGATAACTCGATACCCTAATTTGATTGGTAAAAAAAATCCTAACTCACTATCCCTAAATTTTTAAAATTCTTATCTTCCTTTTTGTTTTATGCTTAGGGTTAAGATTTTTTTGATTAGGTTTTTTAATTTCATTCATGATATTGCAATGTTGAGTTATATTTTATTGCATAACATTGCAATCATATGTAATATTTGTCATATCCGATTCATATCCAGTCCGTATCCGTTTCCCAAATATCCGATTAATATCGGTGATCATATCCATATCCTATATCTAATATCCGAACCGTATCAGTTTCCGTTTATTGTGTATATGGTCATGACATTTTTTAACGATGAATATCCGTATCCGTGTTAAGTGCCATATCCGAACCCTATCCGAACTGAATGCACCCCTATCACCAACACGGGTGAAAGTCACATGCAACTATTATGAGCTTCTGAGCTAAAACAAAGCACTGGTGAAAACAGAAGAAGTGAGGTCATCTGAGCAGAATGGTAATGGAATTCGGCTTTACCCAAAAGCTCAAACTTCAGAAGTTTATGTCAAACTGAGTTACCATCCTTCGTTGCGTAATGATGGAAAACAAATGGAGCAATTGCATATTGCCTCCATTTTATATAAACTTGATACAACCACAAGTTGAGGTGAGAAGTTAGCTTGCAAGAAGGGTGTAGGTGTTCCATTAATTACTTTACAAGATCATTTTCATGGGAGCATGTATTTTTTATCCTAGGCAAGTTTATATCCATTTTAATTAACTCAGTTGCCAACCTTTAGCAAATCAAATTCTTTCAAGTTTTTTTAGTGAGCACACTGTTGTACTTCTGAATTTTCAATTTTCTTCATTTTAATTTGTTAATTCAGAGAACTTCATCATAGTTGCAACAGCTATTAGTTATAGTTTCAAACCTTGTCAGTATAAAACAAATGATGCTTTTAACCCAAATAATCCTCTGCAACCCTCTATACACTAGCGACAAAACCCTAGCCGTGACTGTCACCTTCCTCACCATGCTCAAGCTCGCGAGTGGTCTCTCTGATGGCTTATCTTCCTACGCTTCATATTTGATTGCATGAGCAAATTCTACGGACTTGCTTGAAACCATTGATTTAATTTCATTATCTATTAATTAAAATATAAGTAAACTCTATTATTGTTAATAAAAATAGGGATTGGGACTTCGAAGCTCCCAGTTTTCTCAACCTAATTTTTTATATGGGCTCTTCAAGCTTTTGCTCTACTTTTGAGTTGTTTCAGAGGCTTGAGGAGCGGAAGTATTTTCAGGAAGGAATAGTGCCACCTAGGCACCGCATCAGCAATTATGGAAGTAGAGGAACTAGATTTTAGGGGTATTTGTTTCACACTTTTTATGGAAAAGGAATAAGATTTGGATCTGACAAGGGCAAAACCGTAAATAAAGAATTCTTTATGAATCCTGATCCTGAGTTTTGTTCACAAAAAATTTATAGATTTTGAAATCTATAAAGTTGTAAAAGTGTGGTGTTTTTATGAAAGCTTAAATCATATTTTCTTCACGGACCCTAGATCTGGTTTTCCGTTGCTCCCGCTATTCATCTCCTGCCTCTTCCCAATCTTCTTCGCGCCTCTTCTCTCGTTGTTCTTCGATTTCTTTTTCCAAGACGAGGCTCAACGATAGTTGTCGGTGATCCCTTCTCGAACTTGTTATTCGATTGTTGGCTTTGATTTCTGTTGGTGGGTTCGGTGGGTTTGCTGGCTTCGGCTTCTCCCGCGAATCTTCTACCGCCTCTTCTCAATCCTCTTTGCGCCTCTTCTCGAATCGTTCTTCGATTCTTTTTCGAAGACGAGGCTCGGCGCTAGTTGTCGGTGATCCCTTCTCGAACTTGCTATTCGGTTGTTGGTTTTGATTTCTGTCGGTGGGTTCAGTGGGTTTGTTCCGTTCGGTGGGTTTGTTGGCTTTGGTGGGTTTGTTGCTTCGATTTCTGAATTATCCCCTTAAAATCTACCGATATGCGCTTCCTTAAAAAAATTTTATTTGCTTGGGTGGATGGAGTTTGTGATGCATTACATATTGGTTTGGCCTTGTTGCTGTCGGTCTATAAGGGTAGGTGGAGCTTGTGTAGCTCCTTTGGTTTGTTTTCTTACTGTCATTCAGGAGCTTGTGTAGCCCCTTTGCTTTGGCTATGTTGCTGTCGGTTTTGAATCTCATTCATGAGCTCGTAAAGCTCCTTTTTTTTCTATGTTGCTTTCGGTTTTGAATCTCATTCATGAGCTTGTATAGATCCTTTGCTTTGGCTATGTTGCTGTCGGTTTTGATGATCATAATACAGCTTGTGTTGCCTCGGTTTGTGTGGTTTTGTTGTTGTCAGGCGGAGCTTGTGTAGCTCCTTTGGTTTGGTTTTTTTGCTGTCAGGTAGAGCTTGTGTAGCCCCTTTTCTTTGGCTATATTGCTGTCGGTTTTGAATCTCATTCATGAGCTCGTAAAGCACCTTTGGTTTGGCTATTTTTCTTTCGGTTTTGAATCTCATTCATGAGCTTGTTTAGCTCATTTGCTTTGGCTATGTTGTGAGTTTTGATGGTCATAATACAGCTTGTGTTGCTGCGGTTTGTGCGGTTTTGTTGCTATCAGGTGGAGCTTGTGTAGCTCCTTTGGTTTGGTTTTTTTGCTATCAGGTGGAGCTTGTGTAGCTCATTTGCTTTGGTTTTCTTGATGTCAGGTGGAGCTTGTGTTGCTCCTTTGCTTGGCTATGTTGCTGTCGGTTTTGAAGCTCATTCATGAGCTTGTGTTGCCTCGGTCGGTGGGTTTTGTTGCTGTCATTCAGGAGCTTGTGTAGCTCCTTTGGTTTGACTATGTTGTTGTCGGTTTTGAATCTCATTCATGAGCTTGTGTAGCTCCTTTGGTTTGGCTATGTTGCTTTCGGTTTTGAATCTCATTCATGAGCTTGTGTAGCTCCTTTGGTTTGGTTATGTTGCTATCGGTTTTGAATCTCATTCATGAGCTTGTGTAGCTCCTTTGGTTTGGCTATGTTGCTTTCGGTTTTGAATCTCATTCATGAGCTTGTGTAGCTCCTTTGGTCTAGTTTTTTTCCTGTCGGTTGTGTTGCTGTCGGTTTTGTTGCTATCGGTTGATGAATTGCTGGAGCTTGTGATGCACCATAGGTGATATTTGGCAATGATGTTAGCGTTTACTGAGAATGCAATCTAACTTACAACGTTTATTATGTTCAGATGAGGCAATATGTGATGAGATTGCATCCTACATTGAATTGACAATGTCTAGGTGAGGCAATCCATCATTAGAATGCAATCTTATAGGTGGGGCATTCAATTTTGATAAAATGACCTATTCCTGAGTCGTACAATATCAACTAGAATTGGTACTTATAGTTTAATCAATTCCAATAAAAGTTTTCATTACAATATCAATAGTTTTTGCAAGTACAAGTACATGACATGCGGTTTATAATAATTAAAATAATACAAAATATCACTAGTAAAATTGCTGAAATTTTCCAAGCTAGTAGTTTTTCGACAAGTTTCAATTCTTTCTTCATCCTCTTTGATTTCAAAAAATACTTATCTCCGTACCTATTTTCTTTGACATATTAGTTCCCTTGGTTGCTTATTTCTCCACCTTTATGAGCCTATTCAAAAAAATTACATTCTTTATTTGGGTATTTTGCACACCCCCAATAACGCCGCCCCTTATTTTTACCATTCTAGCACACTTTCATGGGTGTTTGGAGATTGCAATCGCACCAAACTTCAAAAATTTTATTGTATTTTTTTGATATCATATTGATGGAGGGGAGACAACTTACAAACTATGAGAATTTAAAAAAGTGGTAAGAATAAGGGATACATTGGCACAATAAACCCTTAATCCAAATTTATAGTCTCCAAAACCTTGGAACTAGCCGTTGCTACAGTATTTTTTCGGTTTTGGATTTTGTTAAACAGGTAAGAATACCTAAGGTGTTCTTACCATTTATCCTAAAATTTTCTCATTCCAAGCCAAACTAAAGAATAGGAATTGGAGGGTTTCTATAAAGTTGGATTTTATTTTTTCATGTCATAAAAACAAACATAGAAAGGAAAAAAAAATGATTCCTTGAATCCATAAACTTGTCTTAAATTTTTTTTATGGAATAGGTAAGAATCCATAAAAAATCGGATTCCTAATTCAATTCTTGCCCACTATTGAACCAAACACTCCCTTTCTACATAAACAATCTTTTTGGCTCGGAAGTAGCAGAACTAGCATTTACTTCATTCACTTCAACTATTTCATGGATACTTCCCCGCAAACAAACATGCCCTTAGTGAAAGGGGTCTTCACTCCAAGTAGATATAATTTGGGGTCATACCAATCACTTTAAGTAGACATAATTAGAAATTAAAGGAAAAAAAGAGTGAATCACAGCTTGAATCACTCTTAAGCAGACATGATTTTGCATATTAATACATGGAGTGGATGCCAAGTGTTGACTTGTGAAAATAGTAGACCATCTAAATTACTTGTGCTTAAAGATAAAGCCACTAATAGCACAAGTGCAAAATTTTGCCCATTGCCCCTCTAAAAGGTCACGTTCTTTATCTTCATAGTACCTCATTCGCATCCAAGACTCCATGGATTATGACGATCTTTGCGAACTGTGCGACGATGAATTGGAGGATGTCAAATAGTCCAAAGGATACTCCAACGAATCCAAGGAAGAGGAATTCTCCCTTGCACCCGCATGATCTTCACAGAGCAATTCAAACCGTGCACTCACTTATATCATTTGCAGCATGGTAATGAGGGAGTTTCAATGCTCAGGATTTTTTTTCCTTTGCCTCCCAATCCGAAGTTCATTTTTCTTGCGTACTAGAATGACTAAGTCTAGTCGTGATCGTGGCAACACTCCATACACTAGCGACAAACTCCTAGACATGATCGTTGCCTTCTTCACCTTGCTCAAGTTCGCGAATGACCTCTTGAACAACTAAGCCTTAACCACGAATTAGTTCATCTAGCTAAATAACATCTGAAATTTGAGGAT